GAACCTCTTACCACGATTGAGAAGGAAGGAGACTATGTTGAAAAGTATACTTTGTGTCCTGACACTTTTCTATTCATTTTGGTATTCATTGTGTGTTCTACTTCTACTATTAAATCTGTTGTAATTTTTTATTCAACAACAGACATTAAATCTGGCACTTTTGACCGAACCTCTTACCACGATTGAGAAGGAAGGAGACTATGTTGAAAAGTATATTTGGGGTCCTGACACTTTTCTATTCATTTTGGTATTCATTGTGTACTTCTACTATTAAATCTGTTGGAATTATAGAACAAGAGACATGGCACTTTGACCGAACCTCTTACCACGATTGAGAAGGAAGGAGACTATGTTGAAATGTATATTTGGGATTCTGACACTTTCCATTCATTTTGCTATTCATTGTGTGCTTCTATTAAATCTGTTGTAATTAAAGTAGAACAGACAATATCTTTTGACCGACCATGTTAACTAAAAACTGGCATTAGTAGAATCGATGTGGTATTGGGGCGGGGATTAACTTGTTTAGCTAACTTCCAAAGTAAATTTAATTTGAAATGCACTGAAAGTAATAACATTTACAAATAAATTTGACCTGAAGCAAGTTGACTAGAATTTCCACAGTCGACAAAAAACATAATTGTTTACATGACGGACAAAAATGAAAGATAAAGCCGTAATAATTTGGTCTTATCTGCGAAAATGCATGAAATAATGTTTTTGATAATTTCATATATTTTTTTTTTAATCAAAAAGCTTTTTTTAAATATGTTTGCACCTAGCCAAACATGATTAATATATTTTACGGAACGCTTTTTTTTAGATGTCTTTTACGTAACCAAATTCTTGATTTTAAGTCTGTAATATTTATATGTATAGCTGGCTGCTAGTATACGAGGATACCCGTCTATATGAGGATACCCGTCTATACGAGGATACCCGTCTGCTAGGGTGGCTACTCAATACCCACAGAGCCTACCTGTGGTTTATACTGCAACTGTGCTGATCAGACCTTAGTTACAGTTTCTGGGAGAGAGCGTGTTACCTACCGTGTTCAACAATTTGAACAAGGCCAGCACGTTCAAGCCCTCGACCACGATGACTTGTGTCTTCATGCTAGCAAAGGTATTGACGGCCCCCAATGGTTCCGTCTACCTAATTTCACTCACAGGTATTGATTTCAAGCACTTTCCAAGGATGCCGCACGTTGGCATCGATCCCCCCAGTCCGATAACTTCCTAACAAATTGAGCATGGTCAGATATGAACCCAGATCTCATAGTCAGACCAATGTGCCCATGCAATATTTATAATATTTGCTATATTTTATTTTTTCTGGTGGAGGCTTACGGCCACATGACGTTGAAATACCGGTTCCCGTACGACTACCGAAGTTAAGCAACTGTCCGTACCTAGATGGTTTGGAAATACCAGGTGCTCTAAGATAGGGTGTGTAGGTAGTATAAAGTGCTTACGGCCACGTCAAGTTGAAACACTGGTTCCCGTACGATCACCAAAGTTAAGCAACGTCGAGCCTGGTCCGTACCTAGATGGGTGACCGCACGGGAATACCAGGTGATGTAAGCTAGGGTGTGCATGCTGTCTAAAGAGCTGACGGTCAGAACAGTTGAAGCACCGATTCCCGTACGGCCACCGAAGTTAAGCAACGTCGAGCTTGGTCAATACTTAGATGGGTGATCACTTGAGAATAGCAGGTGCTGTAAGTTTGGATGTGCGGGTGGGGTAATGGCTCTGGATTGTAAATCAGATAGCCGTGTTCTAATTCCAGTTGGCTTCGTTATATTTACTTAAGTGCAAATACCCTTGTGAAAGGTATGAATCTAACTCTTCCTCCCCAAATCTATGGGTTAATTAGTAAGACATTTATCACTAAAACCATTATTATCGCACACACAAATAATTCTCACAATTCTTAAAATATTTTCTGGCTTTAAATAACCTACAAGGGGTTGGTAAACTGTAAAAATGAATCAATTGATTTTCCTTTCCTATTTTTCTTACTCCGTTAAGTTTTTATTAGGTTGGTGCAAAAATAATGACGTAATAATGTCGTTTTTGACGTATTTTTAACGTCAAAAACGACATTATTAAGGAACATTATTTTTTTGGTTAACCTATTTTTAATTAAAAATTCTTCATTTGATTATAGTTTTATGTCTTCTTTTATTGGGATTTAAAGTTGAGTGTATTTGGAAAATCCCATTAGCGTTTCCTCAGGTGGCGATACTTTTATGCTGGAAACGAAGCCGGTGAAATGTGTCTCAAAAAAAGGTCATCCACGGTGCTATAAGCAGGTGGGTCTTCAGTCCCCGAATTTTTTGCTGAAACTGAAAACTAGACCGAAGATTACATTTGTCTAAAATCATTGCTGCCAATAATTTTCAGAAGACATAAGTAAATATTCTGAGGGGTGAGTATAAAATTGGTCTTAATAGAACATAGTGAATCTCAGGTAAACGATACAACTGGAGCCGTAAAGAAGCAACAGTCATGACAACCTCATAAATGAACCTTGAACCATTGCCATTTTGAGCAAACGTTCTTTGAAATTTCAGCTCAATGATCTCAATTTCGAAAACGTCAAATTTGTAGAATTTAGTTTTGATAGTATGATATACAAATAAACGGGATTACTATGGGTACTCCTATGTGCCCTGTGTTGGCCAACATTTTTTTGACTTTTGTAAACTAGATTTCCCTGTTTGCGGAAAGTAATATGCTCTCAACTGCCTGATGGGTAATAGCTGTAGCTATTTATAGTCTTTGTGACTTCATATGTAAATGATGTGCTGGTACATAGGTCAGATTCGATGTTTCTGACTACTGTATACCATAAACCTGCCTTTATTGAATTGTACTTGTTGGGACTATTTTTGTCCTAAAGAACAAAAACTTAATTTGATTAAAGTCGTTTGTTCATCGATTACTAATCATGTGTTTTAAATCCAAGTTAAATTCAGGAACTGTTTATTACGAAGGTTTTAGATAAAAACATTTACCTTCTAGAATTTTAAAATCATTTCACCTACAAACAAAAGGCAATAAAGCCACTAAGACGCAATGTGAAAGAATATAAGAAAAGGAAAAAAAACACTATTAAGGAGCGTAAATAATAAAAGAACAGAAACTAACAAGACAGAAGATGACGATTGACAATGCATTTGAATTTCAGAAGATCAAACTTGACTGGAAAGCAAGAAGCCGGGAGAGAGTTCCACAAGCAAGAAGTGCGAGAAAAAACTGCTAGCATAGAACTTACGGTTATATCCAGCCATTTCAAGTGCAAAATGATGAGACCTATCCGCCAATCTAGCGCTCCACTTAAATTCATAGCGTCTAGGTACCATAGAGGAAGTTGTATGCTAACATCATTCTAGAAAATTATTAGAAGCAATAAAGAAAGAAATAAAATGAAAAATAATTAAAAATTGTGCATTAAAAAATATTGTAGGACGATAAGTGACCATAAAACTGATTAGATAAAATATTTAATATCTTTAAGACTCTATATCTAATTCAGCATTCCAATTGGTAGCATATGATATAGCCCTCCCCCACCTTTCAACATCTGAATTAGCACCCCACCACCTTACAGTCTTTATTTTGCAGCACTCTGCTTGCTGGTAGGCTAATAGTTAAATGAATAGTTTCCAAATTTTTCATGGTACCACCCCCTTGGTTTCCAGGTCTCATTCCACGCGCCTCCTATGCATAAAACAAAACATATACCTATTTCTTGGTATTACGTCGAGTGCAGGTTTAAAACAGCAACTAATTCCGCATTTAATTCGTAAACAAACCTATTTCCAGTCTTGGCCTTTGCTGATGTAATAGTTTTATGGTCACCTGCCCCTTTGATGTCTACTGTCTGATTTAGTTGGTGTCCTGCACGTCATCTAGTAACAAGAAAGCACGCCGACTTTTAATTTTGCATTAAAAATAAAATAAACTATGTCTTGTGCATAACATCACGTAAGTTTTATTCTTTGTAAAGCAAGTGTGTTACTTAAGGTTCGTGAGATTCTTTTTGGGAAAAAAAAACAAAACAAAATGCTTCCTTGTTTCTGATGACACCCTACAGCCTTCCTTCCACCCTCTTGGAACTTTCTACTGTTCCCGCGAAAATCGTGCCACCCACTTTTGTGAGAACTGATTTAGAGAGACAACCGCCTTTTTCTATTACTCCTGTATTTTCACGCGGGATCTTTGGAGGTTATCTTTGATGACAAAGTCAAAGAATGATTCTTCAAATTACTAATATTTTCGCCCAACAGCCACGCCTTCTGCTTAAAAAGAGAATGTTGCTTGGATTTGACTTACTGTGTTTCAAGCAGCCTTAATTCTAAGTAACCTTCCTGTTGGGTAGTCTTACCAGTTTATGTGGGCTTATTACCGTACTGGTGTTTTCATGTGAAGAAATATGTTCTCTTTCTACAAGCTTCCTCTTACGTAGACAAATTGAAATGAAATTCACGGGGCACAACACTTACAATTTCATCGCTTACGAGAAATAAAGCTAATATCTTACCATCCAATTATCTTCTTAAGTCTCCTTAAGATCGCTCCTCACTTTGAAGTTAAGATTAGTATAACGACATTTTTTCCTTACGTAATAAAGGTTTCGAGAGATAATAAAGCTAAAGACTACAACCGAAAGGGTAGTACTGGTTAAAGTGTGTGATATGAATGCAAGTGAGTGTAGGTAGAAATTAAGATTGTGAGAACAAGGAGGAAAATGACGATTGATCTTTGATTTGAAGAGCTCAAAATTGTAGGGATTAGGGGAGCAACCCCGAGGCAGTCTGTTCTACAATGTAGCAGTTCTTAAGAAAAGTCTGATTCTTATTTTTGTAAAACGTAGGAAATGAGGATGATTCGACTTTGTGGAAGTGGCATAGCGTGTCCTAGCTGTAATACATACAGAGGAAAATTTTGCGGCAGCTACTACTACTACTACTACTATTAAATAAATAATAAATGATTAGACGTTTTAACACGTACATGTTTTGTTATGACCATACCCTGTTTGGCATGTCCCTAGGGCCTGACGCACTATGGATCTTAGTTCATGAGCGGGGTATTTGGGGAGAATCACGACCTAGTATCGAGAGATTTTTTTAATTTTGAAGGGCGAGGCAGCTCATTCGACTTGGGAGTCACATCTAGATTCTTGAGAAGACTCTCGATTGGAGACCATCTGGGTTACTAGACCTGGCGGTATCTCTAACTGGGCACAACCTGCGCTGCATTTATAAAAAACAGTCAGCATATGGCGTACATTTGCTTGTGATGCATGTACGTGTTATACCTTTATCAAACTAGGTGTTATTATGGGTAAATTGCGCACTTCGTATATTTGTAACGCAGCATCACTTTGTTGGTACGCTGCTCTCTTAATAATAATAATAATAATAATAATAATTGTTGTAACCCAAGGAAAGTTACTGAATGGAATAATCACACGAAGGTTGGTAATGAACGATAATACTTAGGACAAGAACAACACATATAAGATTCGCCAGCGGCACGTAGAAGAAGTAGTCAACTGCTAGAAGTGAGTCAAGTGAATTCCACAATGAATCTTCAACTGCATGATATCTACCAATCGCCACACGCGGTCAGATGTGTCACAAGGCTGAATTTAATGTGGTGTATCCGAGCCTAATGGCTCGGACAATTTCTCCGTAGACCCCGTATAAAACAAGGTCGGGTAGCTGTTTCCTTAGACGAGACTCTACCCTTCTACATAGCCTCGTCTGGGAATCCTCTCTGCCCGAAAGCAGAGTGTTTGACCAACACAGCTGGAGACGAATCTCAAACTGCAGACCGTAGGTACGCTACAACAATAATAATGAAAGAAAATTCAGAAAATAAGCAAAAACTGATCGAAACATATTTGCGCAGAGGGCACATCAAACGGGAAGGATAATCAAAATAATATCATCAATAGGACCCAAGAAAAGTGGTACCTTGCAGTGGAGAAATAGTTAACTCGTGTCATCATTAATGAGTAGCAACGCAGATCCTCACTAGGTGCCTCATACAAAATTTCAACAATAAATAATCTAACAAGAGTTGACATCACATAAAATCAGCCTATCTGACTTAACCAAGAAGAATGTCAGTGTCACCTGTGTGGCGAGGCATTATTAGTTATTGCAACAGACGTGTCAGGGGGAAGGTTTAATCACTGGGAACTGTGCAAAGAATTTCGGTTTGATGGAAGAATCGAATGGCATGAGCACAAATCATTGTTTTTAAAAATTGTAGAAGTTCAATTACTTAGGACGATGATACTCAGAAGTATTATCGTGTCTAGGCAAGAGGATGATGACAGACTCAGAAGAAGAACTGTAGGGCTTCTTAGACCAGATAGTCAAGGAAAGCGAGAAGAAAGGACTAATCATCAATTGTATGAAGATAGCATGCATGGTTGTCAGCAAGAGATAAATTCCAAGATGCGAACGATAAATTGGAGATGTCAAAATCAACCAAGTACAAAAGTTTAAATATCCGGGAAGTGTTTTAACAGAGGATGGAATATGCGACACTGAAATCAGAAGCAAAGATGCCTTCCAAAAATTAAACAAATTAAGAAGAAACAGGAAATTTTTTCAAAGAGCACTCAACTGATATCTAATATAAATCATCCGATATGGCAGTGAAAGCTGGAAAATTTCCACACCAATACCGAGAAAAGTTGAAGCAACGGAGACATGGTTCTACAGAAGGATACTGAGAATACCATGGATGAAGCATGTAAACAATGAGGATGTCTTAAGAAAGGTGGAAACAAAATGGCCGCCTATAGTTCGAATCAGAAAGAAAATCGAAATTTCCGTGACGCATAATAAAGAAAGGGGGTTTGGAAAATCTGACACTCACAAGGCATATAGAAGCGGAAAGGGACAGACGAAACTGGGAGTAACCTACCTAATTGGTTTTCGTAAATGGATAGCTGAATAAGGGGTCATAAAAAGAAAAAAAATGTAAGGGCTGGCAAACATGGGATACTATGGAGAGTCATGATCGTTCACGTCCTGAACGGACACGGCACAATGAAGAAAAAGAAGATTCGAATGATTTTAGGCTGAGAGAAAAAAAAAAACCTGTCAAACAATCGACATTGTCGTCCCGGTGGATCCTGCGTTGAAATTGAAATACAGAAAATAGATAAATGTGCAAATTTACATTTAATTAACTGACAAGATAATAAAGAACGTTATCGGTGATATCTGTGACTCACTAACGCTTGCGGGACAAGAGAAGCTCCGAGCTAAAGCGAAAGTATCTTCCTCAATCAACAGATAAAGAGAGAATGAAACAAAAAGAAATGAATGAGTTCTAAAAAGTGCATAGATACTTCTATTTAACAAAAATAAATAGAAACTTTAGTTAAAAAAAATAAATAGAAATCTTAGTTTAAAAATAAATAAATATAAACCTTAGTTAAAAAAATAAATAGAAATCTTAGTTAAAACAATAGAAATCTTAGTTAAAAAAATAAATAGAAACTTTAGTTCAAAATAAATAAATAGAAACTTTAGTTTAAAAAAATAAATAGAAACTTTAGTTTAAAAAAAATAAATAGAAACCTTAGTTAAAAAAATAGAAGCTTTAATTAAAAAAATAAATAGAAATCTTAGTTTAAAAAAATAAATAGAAACCTTAGTTAAAAATAATAAATAGAAACTTTAGTTTAAAAAAAAATTAGAAACCTTAGTTTAAAAAAAATGAATACTTCCAATTTAACAAAGATAAAATACATTTGTATTTCAAAAACACCTAATCATGTCTATTAACAAAAGTAAACAAAGACATCTATATCACAAAAGTAAATGTTAATCTGAATTTAAAAAAATAGGCAAATCTATTTAAAGAATGATATTTAAAACAGTAATTAGGTATTTCTATATTACTGTAGTAAATATGCGGCACTATGCTCGGGGCCCCCACATAGTCAATAATCTTATCTTTTTAAGTGTTTCGTGTTTTGTGATCAGTGATAAGTTCTGTGAGATGGGGTCTTCATGGCGACCATTCACTTGACCGAAAGAGAATAAAATAATAGATAAATAAATAAAACATTTTTGGATCAAGTGACAACCAACCGGACGATGAAGACATCCGGATGCAGGCCTGTACTAACGGTCACAGTTGGGACTGAGTAGAGTTCTGGACGGCGCATTAACTAAGTAGTTTTGATGCCGCCCGTTAGAGCTGCTAGTAGTAGGAGAAAGTCATATTTCCTTAGATTTCATTAGCGCACACACGGGCGCACACATACACACACGCGCACGCACACACACACACGTACACACACATATATATATAGTGCTGCACAAAAATAAGTAAACACTTAATATATATATATATATATATATATAGATATGTGTGTGTGTGTGTGTGTGTGTGTGTGTGTGTGTGTCTTGCCTTCGATTTGAGAATTGGGTTTAGGTCCGGGCTGGATCTTCCAACCGGACAATGATCCAAATCATCAATGCAAATTTACAAAAGAATGGAATCGAAAAAAGAAATTTCAAGCCTTGGAATGGCCTAGTCAAAGACCTGATCTAAACCCAATTGAAAATCTGTGATTCAAGAGAGAGATGGCATTGCATGCAAGAAACCCAGGGGTTTTCACAAAAAGAATGGTCAATGATTGACACTCACGACCGTCAGAAACTTCTTAAAAAATATAGAAAAAGATTGCTTGATGTTGTGACCCCCAAAATATTAAATGTAAGGGTTCACTTACTTTTGTATATCTTAATTTTTAATATTTTTATTCCTGCTTGATAAAAAAGATTATGAAAAAGGTTTGGTTTGGTTTGGTTTGTTTCGTTTTACGGCATACCAACCTCAATGTTGACAAGATTTTTATTGCTGGTCATATATTTTCTTCAAAACATGTATTGCTGGTAATAATTTGTTTTTTAAAAAAAATATATTGCTGGTAATAATTCTTTTTCAACAATGTATTGCTGGTAATATTTTTCTTTTTCAAAAATTTACTGCTGGTAATAGTTTTTCCAAAAAAAGTATTTGCTGGTATTAAAACATATTTTTATACTTTCCTTGTTTTGACTCCTTTTTTCGGTGGGGGGTAACTATTTGCCTATAGCTGGTAAAAAATCCGGGTCAGTGTGGACCTTGGAACACCAGCAATTAAGAGATAGTTCCATGCTACTCAAAACCTCCCGATCAAAGGCTTTGCTGTCGGATGTAGTTTATCGTCATACCCAGGACGCGGATGTAATTTATCGTCTTACCCAGGACGCGGATGCAGTTTATCGTCTTACCCAGGACGCGGATGTAGTTTATCGTCTTACCCAGGACGGTATGAAAGTGGTTGTAATTCGTTTAATAAAGGTTTTTATTAATGAATTTATAGTTTAATTAAGATTTGTTGATTATCTGAAAAAAAAAGAGATTGTTGATCACGCTAGATAACACGCTCTTTCCCGGAAAATGTAACTAAGGTCTACTCAGCATAGTTGCAGTATAACAACTGATAGGCTCAGTAGGTGTTGAATAAACACAAATGTGCCCGAGCAAGAGTCTGCAATAGGGATTGGATAGCCGCCATAGTAGACGGGTATTCTCGAATACGAGTGGCCAGCTATACAATACTCTACAATGTTTGACAAATGATAAACTTTATTTACAATCGTATCGTTTGAAAATTTGAATTTTCAACACTGATCTTGTCTCTTTGCACAGGCTTAAACCAACGGGCGATGCCGCTGCAGAAGCGTCAGAATTGCTCTCGAAGCGAAACAATTTACCTGAACCGAGTAATACCGTCCTGGATGTTGGCTCTCTTGATGCAAGTTCGAGGAATACGGTGTTCTTGCAGGCTGCGCAAGCCTTCTCTCTTTTGCAGCATCGGGACGACGGAGTTTCTTCCACAACAGAAAACAATTCGACCGCTGCACCCGCAGGTCAACTCGATCTCTCTGCGAATTCCGACTTGGAAGTGAGATACTTATTCGAACTAGCTTACTCAACGTTGAAATGTGAGTATCTCCTTTTGGATTTAATATTAAATGAAACGCTGTCAAGTATCAGTAACATTTGATGAGTGTCTCTCCCCAACTCTCAGTTGCCCAGAAGAGCTTATAATACGCTGACTAAATCTCCTGTAGAGGAAAGCCCCCTACGAAAGGGACCACTTTTCGGATGAATACTTGTAGACTCTGATATAAACCGGAACTATGTCTACCCTTTTGATTCTAGAGTAATTGGTTTACCTTTTAGATCTTCGTATACGAAAATTTCTGATCCTAGTTATGTGTCCTTTTTGTTTCTATTTTACTTAAGACTTCTCTATGGTATTCTCAGCATCCTCCTGTAGAATCACATATCTATTGCCTCAAAGTCCCTTTCAACATTCACTGCCATTATTTACGCTATTTATATCCGTCATTGTCCTCATCTTTGCTGTTATGACAATGTTGTGCTCTTTGCCCTTCCTCGAGCTTATATTGATCTGGGTAACCTGCGGGGAAGTCTGAACTGAACCCTACGAGGGTTATCTGTTTTCGTTCCATTGCCCAAGTCTAGGGACATCATCTAGTTCTTATTTTATTTATATTTTATTTATGTCTCTTTCAAGTGAGTATAAGTACACACGGTCAGATCCAGGGATTGAACTCACAACCAATGTGTCAACAAATTCAAAAACCAGCACTTTTACCCACGAGGCTGTTGTCCCGTAGGACAATTTCTTGTATTAAACTTATATGAATAGTGTAAATAATTATAACTCCTCACCCCAGAAATCCAGACAAAAACTGAATCCAAGTCTACAGCTTTCGTTATCGTGTCAACCTATGCGTACTGTTTTCACTACAGCAAACCGGACCTATTTATGTTATTAACTTTAGTTAAAAGCCGGACCTGTGTCCACTCTTTTGAATCTCACGCAAATTTACTACAGGATCTATATTTACTTCCCTATTATTCTTTATATTTTGTCCTAAAAGACTTATTTTCGATATTAAATAACCCAACGTGGGCTGTTTTATTAACCAACCTAACAACTCTCAAATCGTAATTTTACGGTCGTTGGTATACAGTGAGGTTTGAAAAAAAAGTTTACAGAAGTTCAGTTAACTTTCTTTATTTTTATGAGCGCTCTCCCTATTTTTCGCCATATAATATTCGACCGGAGAAGTGTTGGGTTAAGTACATTGATAAAGAAGGAGGTTATGTTGTAAAATTATATTTCCTGGCACTACTTAAACTGACACGTCAGCTCGTTAAAAATAGGAAGAAACATTTTTGGGGGATAATTTTGATAGATTAGCATTCATTCACCCTACATCAGACTACGATATACGCCAGAAACGAAAAATCATTAGTAGGTGCTGTTTATAATATAAATACAGTGTCGAATCGATCTCTGACTTTATAAAGATTTATTTGTACTTTGTTTTTATTCACAAATGTCGAGTTTGAAACTGCATACCTCATTGATAAATGTATAATTTAACGAAATGAGAAGAGAAAAAGGACAACGTCAATAGTACGCAATGACATAATCACAGTTTGAAATTTGACATTTGTGAATGTTCTAGTACACCTTCGGACGATAATGGGTATGTCCCCGTTTACATAAATATAGTAGTAAATACTGTATGTTGGTCTAGAGTTGGCGATTTATCTCCAGCAGTGCTGGTCAAACTCTTTGCCTCCGGACAGAGAGGATTCCCAGACGAGGCTATGTAGAAAGGCAGAGTCTTGTCTCGGGAAAACAATATTGCAACACATTTTTATAAAAAAAAAAATTTGCCGACCCTAAGTTTCAGCTACCCCACATAATTTAATGTGGGGTAGCCGAGCACATTAGGTCGGCAAAAGTTCCCTTATCCTGTATAAAAATATTTATGTTTACATCTGACCGCGTGGGGCGATTGGTAGATATCTTGCAGTTGAAGAGTCATTGTGGAATTCACTTGACTCACTTCTAGCAGTTGACTACTTCTTCTACGTATGTTGCATGTTGGTCTAGAGTTGGAGATTCGTCTCCAAATATTCTGTTCAAACACTCTGCCTACGGGCAGAGAGGATCCCCAGACGAGGCTATATCGAAAGAAAGAATTTCGTCTCTGGAAACAGATCCTCGCCTCCGTTTTATATATCTAAAAAATAAATTTTTAATAATTTAACGGGCTCGGATACCCCACTTTAAATTTGGCCTTGTGCCATATCTGACCGGGTGAGGCGGTTGGTAGATATCCTAGAGTTGGGGATTCATCTCGCACCCCTAATTTTGCTTATTAGTTTTTAGAGAAAAGGCATATTATATATGGGGAATTCCGATATATATATATATATATATATATATATATATATATATGTGTGTGTGTGTGTGTGTGTGTGTGTGTGTGTGTGTGTGTGTGTGTGTGTAAATGGTTCACTTGAACCGACTGCTCAGTTGAACTCTCTTCCTACGGACGGGAGGAACCCGAAGGAATACGTTACGCCGAAGGACAGAGTCTCCTTCGGGGAGGTAAACTGAGCCCTGAACCCGTTTATGCGGGTTCAATGGGTTTTATTTTTGTTATAAAGCCCACGGGCTCGGAATGCCCACGTTAAGAAGACCTTGTGCCACATGACACCCTCATGAGGGGGGTGACTCAATACCGTAAATGGTTACAGTGTTTTTGAGTAATGTTTGTTTACGTGTCTAAATGTTTCTTTTGTTCGCAGAAGAGAACTTGATTTTCTACTGGTGTGTTTAAAAACGTGTAAAGACTTGTTGACAACGGAAAACTATTGAAGAAACTTGGCTGATTTATATTGGAAGATGAATCGAATGAATGCGCATGCGTTATGTATATTCTTAATACTTAGTACTTTGAACGCAGAGCTGAGGAATAATGGTATGTGAAATTCCTTATTAGTTGCCTTCACCCAGACTAAGTTTATCTTTTCAACACATAATACTATTTTTTCGTGTTAACAAAAACAAAAAAGTTCAATAACTCGGAAAATAGAAAGATCGTCTTGCGTCAGTGTTTCGATAGAAATCAAAAGGAACTCTTGAATTTAAATCCTGCCGGCGCTGACAGGTGCTAATTGCTGTTCAATAGGAAAATCTTTAGTAGATGCCTCATCGGAGTCATCAATTTAATGCTGATTAAGCAAAACTTCGATGTCATTAATTTTTATGCTGTTGGAATTACAGTTGCCAAAATTATGATATGAATTAATAATTACCAGCAATGTAGGATTCTGAGGGCTTCAATGGAGTTGGAGATGGGGTAAAAGTGAGCAGTTAGATATAATTGGTAAAAAACAGATAACTGAGAAGAATAATGAGACAGTGGATAAAGGCATTGGTTAGATCCAGTGACATGACCCAAAGAGTGTGTGTTCAATACCTGGTTAAGGCAGTGGATAACTTTCAGAGGGGAATTAAGCAGGAGATAACTGATAACTGACATCCATTAGACATGGCACGTGGAATTAGAACAGTCTACCCCAGTGAGCGAAATAAAGGGTTCAGTTCGACATTCCAACCACCTGAAGAAGGCCGGAGCGTAGAAAAGCCGAAACGTAGTGGTAAATATGGCGACAAAGATGAGGACAATAATCCGAATAATGCAAATAGTTGTTATACCATAATACTTATTCTAATATAATAGAATCTCCCACAGATAATAAGTAGCAGTGGCCAGTTGGGCTCAGTGGTGTTGAGCGAGTCAGTCGATATCGGACATTGAAGTACCAACCATCACAACTAGATTGCTGCGTCATTAACTCTTATTTCAAGTTCCTAACGTTTTGTACGTCGAACCTAATTTAGGACGACTTATTGAAATACAAGCCTCCACTGTGAAAACTACTCTACAACAATAGTGTATTAATCCACGTGATTATCCATAAAAAGAATACCCGCTCGGCCCGGTGGCTAGGATCAAAGTGTAGTATCTGTGCTTTGTGAGCTGCCGGGTCGGGTGTTCGTCGAACTCTCTGCTTGCAGAGGGAACCCCTGACGAAGCTCTGCCGAAGGGTAGGGTTTCGTTGGGGAGGTTGACGGAACTGACCCGCCTCGGCGGGTTTGGATGGTTATTTATTTTTTGGCTGGGCCTACGGGCTCGGACATACCCACATTAAAAAGGCCTTGTGCCACATTCGATCCCCGTGGGTGGATTGATAAATACTATCCACGTGATTAAACAGTTATTTCACTAATTTTGTGTTCCATTAATCTCCTTTTGGATTATTATTAACCTGAACTACGAATTGATACAAGCATTATAACAGTTTTTTACAAAAATTTCCTTGATATTCAAATTCTTTTGCTTGTTTTATTTTAGCGTTTCCAATCTGTAGTTGCCATCTTGGGCTGTTCCTTTTGATGACAACAATAAATTCTGTCTGCTTACAATTGATGTTTGGTCCTTTCTTTTTGCTTCTCTTTGCTACCTTCTCTAAGAGTTTCTGTAGTTTTCTTTCTATGTCTTTTTGATCAACACTTGTCATCTGTATATCTTAGGTTGTTATGACTGTTGTTGCCAATAATGAATCCTTCTAGGATTTCTAATTCACTCATGTTTGCCTCACTGTAAAGGTTGAATAAGTCCAATAAAAAGATTCATTCTTGTCTAATGCCTCTTTTCTATTTTATGTATTTACTGAATTTATTTTCTATCCATATGCAGGCAGTTTGTTCTCAGTATGTTCTGAATGATTCTAATATCTTTCCTAAATAGTTTACCTAGCAATTTATTCAGGTCTTTGTGTAGTACTTTATCAAACATTGTTGCATAATTTATAAAACATTGGTATCCATCCGTTAGCATTTATATTACTCCATCTGATCCCATCCAAGCATAAATATCACCTGCCTTGTTCTAGTATCTCGGTATCTTTAAGAAATATGATATTTATCACTGATAATAACAAAGTTCATAGACATGAATGATGTCAGGAAATCATAGTGGAGTCTTTTCCTGTTGCCTTCTCTGGTTATTTTGAGATGCCAACTCTAATTAACTAGCTGTTACCTCAAGAGTTCTTTTGCCCTTTGGTAGGACTTATTTTTCATGGATTGGAGTAGAGTGAACTTGTTTAATTGCCAACTGTTCACTAAAAGATTTCATGTATATTTAAATATCACTTAAAGTTCTAAACATTTTCTCTTTTTTTTGCTTTTAATTGAAAGTAATCTCATGCCTTGACTTTTTCAAGTTAATTTCAAGAAAAAATTATTTTATTTTTTCTTGAAATTAACACCATTCAAATTTGAAGAGTTGAAATATTGGCAGTTGTTTTCGGAAACTTTTTCTTTAAAATATAAAGAAAACTATATTTTTAAATTCCCTTTTTTATTTCTCCTCTTCCCCCTTTGGCATTACTATTGCAAAATCTAAGGCTATTCTTTTACTAATATCACTTAACCTGCTTGTTTACTAGAATGTCTATTAATAATTACATATAAATATTACCTGCTTTGTTCCAGTGTCTATAAGAAATGTGATATTTACCACTGACAATAACAAAGTTCATAGCAATGAATGATATCAGGAAATCAAAGTGGAGTCTTTTCCTGTTGCCTTCTCCGGTTATATTGAGATGTCAACTCTAATTAACTAGCATTGATTCTCACTAGGTGTCCCATACTTTTGGCCTTGTTTGATTTTAGTTTCTCCGATTCATAGTTCACATGTTGTGCTCTTTTTTGCAGACAACCCTACATTTCTACAATTGATGTTTAGTCCTTTTTTTCTAGCTTTCCTTTACGGCCTTCTGTAGGAGTCCCTGTATTTGCCTTTTCGTGTCTGTTATCAACACTATGTCATCGGCATATCTAAGGTTTTTAAGATCAGAGAACGGAAGGCGCTTTGCTAATAACTATTTTCTAAGCATAGCTTAGATGTGGCACAATGCCGAAGATATGGGCCACCTAGTGAGAATCGAACTCACTTTTCAGTTGTAAAAAACACAAAACGCGCCTGGGCGAGCGTCTGCAGTAGGGATTAGCTAGCCGCTCTAGTAGACGGGTATTTCTAACTGTTGCTTAGATGTGTCACGAGGCCGAAAGCATAGGGCACCTAGTGAGGATCGAACTCACTTTTCAGTCGTAACTGATCTAGCCAGACAAGCTTGCTAACTATTACGTCGAGGTGTCCAATGGCGCTTCGATAATGTTTGGTAAGACATATCCCATTTTTTCGATCTCACCGCGCCCATAAGTGACTATTTCGGCAGTGTTCTAGGGCCCTTTTTAGATTAATAAAACTTAATCTTGATTTTACGGGATGAAAAATTTCGCTCAGCATCCTCAAATGTCGTTCATTAAACAAATGAATTGATATATATATATATTTTTATTTTCAGATCAGGAACTACTGATTGATCTTCTCAATCAGTGTAAACTGTATACCTACTTTCCAGAGGTGAGTAAAAAAAAAATATAGCTTGATCTAGGAGTCCAGTAAGCGGTGACGTACTACTGAAGGTATGTAGAGCTCTGGAAAAAAAATAACCATATTTCAATTGACCTAATTATGGCGAAGGCATTTGACTGGGTTTGACAAACACACGTGAAAACACTAGAAATACAGTATGTTTCTAACAAACTGTATGACTGTTTATTACTTAGCGGACATTGTTTTCTTCTTAATCCTAACCCTACATTATTTTTTCTATACCCACAATGATACATTCATATGTCTGCGATGAAAACAACAATGATATTCTTAACAAATATAAAGTGATCATTCAAGAAATATAATGTATAACATACCGTGTATGTCGTTATACAAGGCAGCATTTTAACCTTAAAAATACTCCACAAATAGAGGGCTGTCTTATACTCCAGGTATAAAATGTGAACTTTAAATTCTGTGGTTTATGGTAATTTGTTAGCATGGGAAATTTTTGACGGTAGGCTGTCCCTTACCTTGGTAACAATCGACACAAATATTTTCTACTGAAACAACTCAGCATTATTATAATAAAATAATAAAAATGAAGTGGAATAAAGGGTACTCTTATTTTATATAGTATGTGCTCTGATTGCACAGCAACAATAAAACGCATATTCGTCAAGAGAGAAATCCCAAACCATTGTGACACACTGTAGATTGTGGTAGCTAATTGAAAATATTTCACATCCTCTTTTCGATGATGCTGAACAAAAACAAGACGTTTAAACATTGCATTCGAGAATAGTGGAACGAGTCGATGGTTAGCCGGAAAAAAGTCACTCAGTCTACCGTAATAGCCTACCAAAAAATTAGCATCCGCTCATGAGTTATTGTAGACCGTGGTAGTCAATTAAAAATATCTCCCAACCGACCCACATTGGCAACCTACGTCACTCGTTCCACGTCAAGCAATTTCCAGTGGTACGCAGCCGCAAATGCCATCACGATGTCCAAACCAATACCTACTCCAGCGCAAAGAAGATATTTAGTTGTTATTTCTTTGTCCGTTATATGCCATGTATGCTTAGGCGATCATGCATCTTTCGATACATGACTGACGAGACAATAGGTTGCCATTTTTTTCTGCCATCCAAGGCCACAGAATACGGTCTGTCCTGCTTGGGGAGAAGAAGAGGATTTATACACTTCCCAAGGGTATTAGCACGTAAGTGAATGTAATGGATTGGACTGGAATTCGAACTCGGCTCTCTGATTCCTCAATCCGAGCCGCTATCCATTACTCTCCTCTCCTTTCTTTCGTATGTGCATTTCGTTATTGATCTCGGTAACGACAACGAACGGTGGGAGACAGGCAGCCTCTAGCAGACATGGGGTGCGTAAGATGGAATAAGCGAGTCTTTTACGATATCATCTTATACGGCGGGACTCTTTGTACTTCCATTAATAAAAAAAAAAAAAAAACTTTTAAAAAACCTTTGAAAACAGTTTATTTCTATCAATGTGGTTTATATATTATTGTATAATATTACTATATAAAATATATTGTAGAACAGATATATTGACCTTGACTTGTATAAAAATACGTATGCTGTTGGCACACTGAATGATTGTAAAAACCTAAGCCGGCACATAGCAAAAGGTTGCCGACCCCGACAATAGAATTTGAGTGAAAAGAAAGTATATGCTTACTGAATTTATTTAATAAATTCAATACAATACATTTCAAAATACGATTTGTTCATCTTGTACGGCAAATATAGCCCGAAATCTACATTTTAACTTGAAAATTTGGGGATAAATATATAATGAATTTAATGTTCAATGAATTTATAATTTTACAATTGAATTTCCAATTTTAATACCGCATATTCTGGCGTACAAGGCGACTGTATATATAAATATATAAATGTATATACGCCCAGTCGCCTTGTACGCCAGAATATGCGGTATTAAAATTGGAAATTCAATTCTTTATTCTTTTTCATTTGCCTATGATTTAATTCCGATAATTTCGGCATTTATTTGTGAAAATTAAACCTTAATTCACTCATTCTTTTATTCCTTTATTCTTTTTCATTTGCCTCCGATTAAATTCTGAGAATTTCGGCATTTATTTGTAAAAAAGTAAACCTTAATTCACTCATTCTTTTATTCCTTTATTCTTTTTCATTTAACTTATTATTTAATTACAATAATTTCGGAATTTATTTGTAAAAAAAAGTAGACCTTAATTCACTCATTCTTTTATTCCTTTATTCTTTACACATTTGACTTTTAATTCACGTAATGGTTTTTATCAGGTTTTGTTTAATTGTTTTATATTTTTATGTGATCTATTATTTGATCTATTCTACAATTCAACTATTCTTATTTAATTTTTTTTTTTTTTTTTACATCTAGCTGGAAAATCATAACAGTCTGGTGATGCTTATTTTAAATGATTTGATTAATAACAGCTTCGAAGAAGAAAAACGGACCGGACGTGACGTCACCGATCCACTCATCATAAAAGTAAAGCGTGCAATTTGCTCGTGCCAGACGAAAATTAGCGCACGTCTTGCCCGCCATCGCATCCGAGCCAACGCCCTCACCGTTGACTCACTGCTACCTGAACAAGTGAGATTCAAAGACCGGATCAGTTCAAAAATGAAGGTGTATATTTGGGTGAATCAACGAAAAACCAGGTAAATTCGCATCATTTCCTTATCATTATTGATGAGATTTTTAAAAAAAATTCTTTATCAGAGATAATGTTTGGAAGAACTAAAGAATAGTAACCTGAAATATTTAAATCATCTTTTGATGAAGAACTTACAATTTCTAGGATGAAGTATCTTTATTTGTTTTATCATTATACCTCCGTAGATTAAATAAAGGTGTAGGAATACAAACGGAGATTATTTCCTTTTCGTTAAAATAACGTCACCAGGGCCACGTGACGGCCGGTGGGTGATGTCAAGAGATAGAGTGATGAAGGGCAGTTGCGATGTAAAGCCCGGAAAAGAAAGGCGTCCTTAGCCCACAGCGATAGGCCTTACAGAAAAACAAAAGAAAACACATATGGCCTCACCAGAGAGAAACTGCTGTAGCACTAGTTTTCTCTTATGGAAATATTACAAGTAAAACTCCTACTTTTCACACTGTTTGTTATTGCATACCTGATATAGTTTCTCTGTGTGGGACACGTGTAAATATGTGTTTATATCTTTATGTACGACTTAGCGTTCTAAAACGCTCTCTGAGAAAAAAAAAGGAGTGATGAACATTCGTTCATCACTCCTTTTTTTCAGCTATTCCGCTCCGTCCGTGAAATAAGGTGTAAGTATATCATGGATATGATAATGTCAATAATGGGGGAAATACAATTGGGAAAATAGATCTTTCTTCCATAGCTCACCCATTATCTCAGTCGACTTGACGTCACATGATATTATTAATCCCCATTAAAGAGCTCAGTTCGAAAGTCCCTGATGTTTACCCGGATCGACAATCACCTGAAGATGACCGGAGAACACAAAACTTGTGATATTAACAAAGATGAAGATAATAATCTGATGATGAAGTTTGAGTCTCTCTCTTGATCAGCATCGCTTTGCCTGTCTACTCTATCTGATTCACAACCGAGTAGGGGCGCCTGGCTCAACGCAGTGCCTTCTTCATCTACCGGTAAACCTTCTAGATGATGAGTGCACTCGGGTCGTAGACGAGATCCGTCTTGGACTCAAATTATGTGAGCGTCACAGATGCAGATGTGGAGCTTCCATTGATGAATTTGGTTTGCATCCTCTCTCCTGTCGTCGTAGTGCCGGCCGCTTTCCACGGCATGCAGCAATAAACGAGATCATCAGAAGAAGTTTGGATGCAGCTGGATTCCCTTCCCAAATCGAAGCCGTAGGCCTCGACCGTGGTGATGGAAAGTGGCCAGATGGCATTACCATTTTTCCTTTTAAAATGGGGAAGTCGTTGATTTGGGACGCGGCCTGTGCGGATCCATATTCGGCCGTTAATTTGATCAGGTCCGCGGTTGAGCTGGGGTCCGTAGCCCGAGACGCAGAGATAAAAATATAGTTAAATATTCTTCTCTTACTGATAGATTTTTTTACTCCTATGGCAGAGGAGACTTATGGGGTTATTGATCCTCGTTCGATGGCGTTCCTTCGGAGGATTGGCGCGATGGCGTCTCGATTAAGGGACAAGCCTCGCGAAACAGAGTGGCTCGTGAAACGGAGTGGCTCTTGCAACGTGTCTCACTGGCGATGGTTCGAGGTAATGCTTTCTCAATCATTGAGGCTGGCACAGGATAGCAAAAAAAAAAAAAAAAAAAAAATTGTTTATAGGCAATTTGTTCAAACTTTTTTTTCAATAAAAATTGTTGGATTACCGCCCCCCCCCCCCAATCTGAATGCAAAAAAATAGTCCAAAAATTAAAATGACTTATTTTATTCATCTTTAGAATAGGATTAATTTATTAATGTTCAGAGTACAATTTGTTCCAGTTTTTTTACAGAATTCTCTAAATTAAATTAAGTCATTTCCCTGTAAGACATTAAAAGGCAGCTAGAGTAATATCCTTTTTTTGGCAGCTTTGCAAAATAAAAAATAAAATAGAATAAATAAAATAAAAAATAAAAGATAAAAAATTTCTACGTTGATAAAATTAGGGAGTTATCTAAAACGGTAACTGCCTTATTCTATCAACGTAGAGATTTTAACATTCCTTGGGGACCGTAACTAAAGACCTGTTCCATATTTCTTCAAATCTCTTTTCGAATTTCTCTGATACTCATATGTTCCTGTCTTTTGCACGTTAACTGTTCGCCTTACTGAAAATTAATAAACTCTGAAGTCAGAGCAAATGCTTAAATGAGGTTCCTGCTCGAAAAGAGTTACAAAACATTAATTAGTTTTTGATACATTTTTCATTAAATTGATTGAAATTAATATCTCCTCCCATTTCTCATTTTCCTCTTTTATCATTTCTACACTTTATGACAAGAAACAAGGAGTAAGCATGCATATTAAAAACAATATCACTAGACGATTTGTTTTCTACGGTTTATCGATCTTTTGCAGGTTATTTTAGGTTCTTTTTTTTGGTGGGGAAGATAATAATAGTTTAGCGATACAAGTTTTACTAATTAACCCATATCTGGGGGGAGAGAGAAGAAGTGGATTTATAACTTTCGCAAGGGTATTTGCACAGAAGTGAATATAACAAACCCAACGCGAATTTGAACTCGACTCCCCGATTGACAATCCTGAGCCGTTATCCATTACACCATCCCTACATTCAAGCTTACCGCATCTGTTATTCCCAGACGGTCACCCATATGGCTTAACTTCGGTGATCGTACGGGAACCGCTGTTACGGCGTGATATGACCATAAGCCTTGATATGTTTATCAAAATTCCATCAACGTGTATTTTGACAGGCTCAGCAGAGGAAATCAAACCTTTGTTTTCTTTCTTTCTTTTTCTTTCTTTCTTTCTTTCTTTCTTTCTTTCTTTCTTTCTTTCTTTCTTTATCTATCTATCTATCTATCTATCCCCAGCCTGTTCATTATCTATCTGTCAACGAGGGATCTATGAAACATAAAAATTCAACATTGTGATTCTTCTTCTATGTGCCGTGTCCCGTCAGGACGTTGGCGATCATAGCTCTCTACAATTTCTTGTCTTTTGAAGCTCTTAACAAATTTTATCTTTTTGCTGCCTCTCCGACGTTTCGGCCGTTGTACGCTCCGGCCTTCCTCCGGTGATATTTGTTGAAATTTCCATCGAACCCTTTATTTAGTCCACGGGACTAGATTATCCTAATTCCATGTGCCACATCCTAGGCTGTCTCAGTTTTGGTTAATTCCCCTTGATAACTCATCTCTTCAATTTTTGTTATCCCTGCTCAGACCTGAGATCGAAATCAAAATTTGTTGGGTCAAGTCAGTTTTAAGATAAATCAATCAAAGCTTTTATCCACTAGGTATTTGATGTAAGAGGATCTTACTTATTATAAAACGCAGATTGTGTGTGTGTGTGTGTGTGTGTGTGTGTGTGTGTGTGTGTGTGTGTGTGTGTGTGTGTGTGTGTCTGTACGTTTATATATTGGATCGAATTTCCTACATTTTTCAACCGATTTCAACAAAACTTCACAGGACTACGTAAAATAACCTTGCGGTGGTTCTGACAGCGCCCAAAATTGGAAAAACACGATTGTTTTTGCATGAAATCAATTTGAAAACACGATTAAGAGGCATTAATAAAAGGGGGACAACTCATATCGAGTTATACTTAGTAATATCGAGTTATCGAGTTATACTTATTATAAAACCCAGGTTGGTTGTTTGTGTGTGTGTGTGTGTGTTCCTTTATATATGGGATCGGATTTCCTACATTTTTCAACCGATTTCAACAAAACTTCACTTTTTTTTCGGCAGGTAGTGTTTCTTATTGTCTTGCACACTTTTTTCTTTATTTTTACATTCAGAATGCTTTAAAAATTCCATTTACAAGACAATTATTTATAATAAAATTCTATTCAATCGGTAGAGTCGTAACAATTGAAAACAATGTTTTTGTTAGAGTTTGGGTTTGACCAATTCGTAAAAAAAAAACAAAAAAAAATCTAAGACATGCGTGTCCGTCAACCTTAAACAATAATTTTTGTCAATTTTATTTTTCAGTCTTTATGATGATCGATACTTGATCTATCTCTTACTGTTACATCATCCCCGGGCAAACACGGGCTCTACTGCTAGTAGTTAATAAAAGCGTCAGCAACTCTTTTCCTAGTATAGTTTGATCCGCACTGGGTGTCTCTACTGCTGTGACCTGTGTAAGGTCAATCTAAGATTCGCATAGAGTGATCGAAGCCAGTCCGTCATTCATTCACATTGATATATTGCGTTTCTCTATGATGGCTCTTCCAGAGTTTAATAAAATGATTTATTAAGCATAGCTATGGCACAAGAACAAGATTATGGAGAACTCTTTTAGAATCGAACTCACTACTTGGTCTTAGCGAGATAAGATTGCTAGCTATTACACGACGTCGAAGTGCCCATAGATTTAATAAAGTGTTAAAGTACGAAATTCCTTGAAAGTTACCCGGATTGACAAGCACCTGATGAAGTCAGGAGGGCACAATTGTCGAAACGTTGCGACAACAACAAGAAAGATGAGGACAATGGTCAGAGTGTATATAAAGTGAATAAAGATAATTTCTCATCCTATTTCGTAATTCCAGTGATAGCAAGGTAACCACATAAACATTAATATAGTTAGTCCGTACAATACGGAGTGCTCATTTATAGTGTCCTTGTGCTAATCTTACCGAGGCTTAACTAATATTCTCAAATGCCTACTATATTGATATTATCATTCGTTTTTATTGTTCATCTAACACAAGGCCTAAGTGTCACTCAAGGTAGAGCGTTATTCAATGGGAATGTTGTAGAGGGGATCAAAGGTTGCATATTCTGAGTATATATAGGATAGATAACGGTTTATTCTTGAATTAAAGAGGTTGAAATTGTTGTGATTAGGGAAGCATCCCCTCGGGAGTCCGTTCCACATTGCAAAAGTTCTGGAGAAGAAGGTGTGTGAAACTTACTCCTTAATCAATGGCATATGAAGGGAATGAAGATAAAATGACTCAATAGTACAGCAGGGGTCCAAGCTGTGAAGGGTCTGAACTGGTGGAACCAAGAAATGTAGTTCACCCATACATCTTCCATGAAAATAACGGTAGAATAGCGTTGGGCAAGCAACGATTCGTCTGTGGGGAAAGGGGGGGTTACAAAAGCTGTCTATGAAATTCTGTCTGCACCAAGCATTCCAGACTCAACCCGCCACTGACCTGGTACCGTTGTTTCTTTAAACCTTTTTTTTTTCAGGACATGTGAAGAGAATGGAACAAAGAATCGCGGCTTTCCTATTTAATTCCAATTGAACGGTAATTATTCCACTGATTGAAATTTGTCCCCTCCTCCGTCACCACCATATAACCGCAACACAACGCCATTTGACAAACGAGGACAAAGCAAACACTATTGAATCTCGTGTGAACTCGTAAGGTCATTGTGTGAAACAGCGAACAATGAGACACACAAATTTTACTAGCTGTTGCCAGACGGTGGCGTAATGGTTAACGAGGTAGTCTAGTTGGCCAACACTATTGAAAAGTGTGTTCGATCTTCAGCGAGTGCTCCGTACTTCTGTCCTTGTGCCAAAACTAAGCTAAACTTAGTAAATGACGTCTATTTCAAGAAGCTTTATTTCCGACTTATACTGATTCTATTTTCCATGGAGTTTCTTTCTAAAATACTTTCCATTTTCTTACTTTTCCTTTCCTTTGTTTTCATATTTACGCCTTCTTGTTTGTTTGTTTGTTTCTTTTTTGTTTCTTTCTTTGCTTCTTTCTTTCTTTCTTTCTTTCTTTCTTTCTTTCTTTCTTTCTATGAAATTCTTTCTTTTTGTCCTATTTCTATATCTTTTTATATAGTTTCTTTTTCCCTTTTCTTTTTCTTACATTTCTTTCCTTTCTTCACATATTTGCACCTTCCTTTTTCTTCTTTCCTTTCTTTCTTTCTTTCTTTCAATCAATTTTTTCTTTTATTCTTCTTTCCTGCCTCATTTCATTCCTTCCTTTCTTCCTTCCTTCGTTTCTTTTTCTTTCATTATCAATGAAATTCTTTCAGTCTATTTACTCTTCGTTCTTTTTCCTTTCTTTCAATGACACTCTTTTCTTTCATTGTACTTTTTTTCTTCTATCAATCAATTTTTTCAATCAATCCATTAGTCTTAATTTTTCTTTCCTTCATTCTTTCGTTTTGTCTTTCTTTTTCTTGTCCTATTTTTATCTTTCTATATAGTTTCTTTTTTCTTTCTTCAATTTTTATTAAGTTTCCCCTTTTCTTTTTTCATATTTGCACTTTCCCTTTCTTTCTTTCTTTCTTTCTTTCTTTCCTTCTTTCTTTCTTTCTTTCTTTCTATGAAATTATTTAGTTCATTCTATTTAAATTATTTATTTATTTCATTCTATCTATCTATCTATCTATCTATCTATCTATCTATCTAATGAAATTTTCCTGTTTCTTAATACTTTGTTTAGGTTTTGGAAGACATCTTTGGATTTTTGTGTCCCATTACCTCTGTTGCCAGTTATAAAATTGTCATATAGAAAGAAAATGAGTAACTACCGTCGTCGAGATTCGAGCGTGACACTCTGAACTTATGAATATGTAGAGATAACAATAAAAATACAGAAGTTAAGAAGACAGAAAATAATAATTTACCTGTCGTCCGTTAGACGTAAATATTGAGTGAATCATTGCGTACCTGGAGATGAAATTGTGTACCTGGAGATTAATTAATGTATATTGAAATCGAATATTGATGTTTTTGATGCTTAATCATTTGCTATTTTATTGCTGCCGAGTTTGTAACTGCTCACTGGATTTATTTTACCGATACAGCGACATAAATCTTAAATGGACTAATAGCGGGATTCATTGTTGGCGAACATAACCTTAACAGCATAAGATACGCAGATAACACTGTGTTTATGAAAGAATTAGAAAGAAGGGGAAAAAAACTATTATGAGAAAAGCTTGTTGAAGAAAGCATGGAGAAAAGACGAGCCATTAATGGTAAGACGACACAATGCATAATTGGCAACAAAAGGGACAAAGCAAGTTGTGAGCTACATATTAGTAATGGTTAAGTGATTTGACGGAGGACGGTAAGTGCGAGGCTGAGATCCGAAGACGTATTGGGATGGCCAAAGACGAATTCCAAAAGTTGGGCAGAGTATTGCGAGACAGGAGGATTTCTTTGGCAACAAAGAAAAGAACACTGAGCTGCTACGTGACATCTGTAATTCTTTAAAGCAGTGAATGTTGGACGGTCTCCTCAAAGATGAAGAAGAGACTCGAGGCAACGAAGGTATGGTTCTACAGAAGGATGCTAAGGATACTATGGACCGAACATAATGGGATGGCCAAATACACATTCTAAAAGCTAGACAGAGTATTACGAGACAGGAGGACTTCTTTGGTAACAAAGAAAAGAGTACTGAGATGCTACGTGACATCTGTCCTCCTTTACGACATGAATATTGGACGGTCTCCTCAATAATGAAGAAGAGACTCGAGGCAACGAAGGTATGGTTCTACAGAATGATGTTAAGGATACCGTGGACCGAACATAATGGAATGGCCAAAGACGCATTCCAATAGCTAGGCAAAGTATTACGAGACAGAAGGATTTCTTTGGTAACAAATAAAAGAGTACTAAGCTGCAACGTGACATCTGTCCTCCTTTACAGCAGAGGATGTTGGACGGTCTCCTCAAAGATGAAGAAGAGACTCGAAGCAACGGAGATATGGTTCTACAGAAGGATACCATGAACCGAACATGTGAGCAACGATGAGGTTTTGGAGAGGATGCAAAAGGAATATTAGAGGCAGCGAAATTTGGAAATAATGAGAAAGAAGGGCTTAGAGAATGTGATACTACAGGTCGAATAGAGGGAAAAAGAGACAATGGAAAGCAATGCTGGCTGGCTTAAAAGCAGAACGTAGTCTAGGAGGGGTGGCAGAGCGACGAATCTTATTGAGAGCCACAATGGAGAGCCATGATCGCCTACGTCCTGAAGCGACACGGCACATAAAAGAAAAAGAATATTAGTCGTTTGAAAATGGCACTGAAACGGGAAACTGACAGTCACCATGCAATCATGCAATATTGATTCCTATTTCCACACTGTCTACATCTATCTATCTATCTATCTATCTATCTATCTATCTATCTATCTATCTATACCAACTGTAACAGCAAAATTGTCCAAATCGTGTAACAGCATGAGATATTTGTCCATCCCACAAAATGTTTAATACCTAAAAAATCGTTAAACTAATTTAGTTTCTTTTTCCAGGTTTTCAGATAAGACGTTTAGCCATCTTGACACTTTTTGTTGTAAGAATCACTGAAAAAAACCCTTTGAGTTATTCAGCTAGAAAGCGAACAGGTTAAAATAATTTTGTGTCAGTCCCACTATGTCCTCCCAACTGAGAAATGGTGAGAGGAAAAAGATCATTCACGTCTTCAGTAATAGGTAAATAGACACGAAGAGAGCGAGATAGATAGATAGATAGATAGATAGATAGATAGATAGATAGATTATAAAGATGCCATGATAGATAGAAAGGAACCGACTTTCATAGATAGATAGATAGATAGATAGATAGATAGATAGATAGATAGATAGATATGAATAGACTGAGTAGGTTAAAATCGTTTTGTCTCGGCCCCACTTTGTCTTCCCAACTGAGCAATGGTGAGAGAAAAAAAGATCATTCAAACCTTCAGTAATCGTAGGAACATTCATACTCTGGCTTCCATTACCAAAGTCCATTCAAGACCCATCAAGAGAACAGTGAATAAGTTTAAAAAAGATGGAACAGTAGAGAGGAAAACTGGATCAGGAGGTCACAACAGCAAGAGGGACCATCATTTCAACTTAAAGTTAAATATATTCTTATTATTCATCAAGAGTCCAGCAGTGTTATGAAAAACCTTGGAGAATTCCAGTAAGATATCTTTTAAGAACGGTTGAAAGCTTAATCTAACAATTGGACAATTTTGCTGTTACACGATTTGGACAATTTTGCTGTTACACTTGATATATATATATATATATATATATATATATATATATATATATATATATATATATATATATAAAAAAAATATTTTAAAATTAATCGATCGTAGTGATGATCATTGAGTCAATGGGCACGATCGTTTCCTTAGCTGCATAGTATGTGCTTCGCCAGGGCTACATCCTTGAATTTAGAAATTTTTTCTTCTAGACCAGTTGCCAACCAAGGCTATAGAACCCAGTCTGTCCTGCTATTTAATCGTGGAGTCGAAGCGATGGATTCATATCTTTCCCAAGTATATTAGCACTTACGTTAATGTCATGGGCTCAACTGGAATTCGAACTCGGCTCTCGGCTTTCGAAATCCATTACTCTTCCGTACTTCAGTTTTAGTTTTAAAACATGCTATGGGTTAAAACGATTAATAATATTAGCGATAGAACATATGAAAATATAATAATGAACATTAAAGTCAACACTCAGTGCTCGACAGCCTGTTTCATGCTTTAGCGCAATCTTTAGGCCACGTGCGTTGTGTTTTGACCCGATAATTTATATATGATGGTGAATGATGCATTATGGATACTAAAGATTATTGTCAGCTGCCATCCAGAGCTATAGATCACAGTCTTTCCTGCTATTTACCAATAGCTGGTGGGGCGTAGAAGAGGATTCATACCTTTCCCAAGGAAATTTATTAGCACGTAAGTGAATGTAATGGATTCGACTGTTCTAGGAGAAGGGCAACTCTGAATTCAAAACCTGCGGAGGTTCGTTTGGGGACCTTGTGGCACGTAGTGCACCAGGTCACTGTATTCGGCTCTTTAAATACTGTGGATGGTTCCGCACAAAGCTTTCACCGCTATAATCAAAGCCTATGTGCAGGTGTCTGGCTGCCGGTTCTAGAAACTGAGTTGCTTGACCCTCATACGTCGAAAAATAACGGAAGAGTCCAGTCAGTCCAGTCGAGTCTAAGGATTATTGTATTATTGGGTTGGTTGTAATGGTTATGTTTCAGATTATTGTAGAGGATAAAATATTTGCGTATTCGAATGCGCTTATTTGTAGCTATTTTATATTTATTTACATTATTCGGACTGTTATCCTCATCTTCATTGCCATATTCACAACGTTTCGGCTGTTGTACGCTCAGGCCTTCTTCAGGTGATTGGAATTTTTCTTAAGTGTCTATCTATATCTCTGAGATGAGGTATTATGATTACATTATTTATTTTATTCGGACTGTTATCCTCATCTTCATTGCTATATTCACAACGTTTCGGCCGTTGTACGCTCCGGCCTTTGCCAGGTGATTGGAATTCCGAATCGAACCTTTGTTTTGTCCACCGGGGTAGATTGTTCTCTTTGTGTCTAGTCACTTGATCTAACCGACATCTTTATCTACTAGGCCATGTGACCTTGAGGACATCTGTATAAGAATTTCTGGGAAATCATCTGAATTCCGGCCTTCTTCAGGTGGTTGGCGACAAAGATGAGGACAATAGTCCAAATAATGTAAATAATGTACATAATACCTCATCTCAGAAATATAGACAGACACTGAAGGGCCGAAACGTTGTAATAAATATGGCGACAAAGATGAGGACAATAGTCCGAATAATGTAAATAGTGTACATAATACCTCATCTCAGAAATATAGACAGATACTGAAAGACCGAAATGTTGTGATAAATATGGCGACAAAGATGAGGACAATAGTCCAAATAATGTAAATAGTGTACATAATACCTCATCTCAGAAATATAGACAGACACTGAAGGGCCGAAACGTTGTAATAAATATGGCGACAAAGATGAGGACAATAGTCCGAATAATGTAAATAGTGTACATAATACATCATCTCAGAAATATAGACAGAAACTGTGGATTTTTACTCCATTTGTTCTTTCTCCCATGGATATATATATATATATATATATATATATATATATATATATATATATAGAGAGAGAGAGAGAGAGAGAGAGAGAGAGAGAGAAAGAGGGGGGAGACAGACAGACAGAAACAGAGAGAGAGGGAAGTAGAGAGAGAAAGGGAGAGAAGGAGAGTGAGAAATTAAGGGGGACTTGAATAATAATAATTAATTCATTGAGTTTAATTAAAAGAAAGAGCATTTACTTACATTAAATCTTTAAAAATAACCTATAAACAGAAATTTTATTTATAATTATTTTTATCAATGTAGCTACTTTTAACTGTTCAAATCCAATTCTATAAATTGTAGTTATGCTTACTTCAAGCCAATCCTAGTTTTCAAGATTATGTAATATAAATAGAATCGGATCCTTTAATAAATATTTAGAGACGCCATTATATCTCATAATCTATCAATAGAACCTTTCATTGAACAATAATCAATGTACTCTTTTCACAGGCATATGATATACGTCTTTCAT